AACTCAAACTCTCTTTATTCATTTTCAAAACTCTGACCGATTACAATGCAGTAAAAAGACTCTAGGGCGTAACCTTCAATCATAAAGCCAATCACACTAAGTACTGAATACGTCATATCTTTTGATTAATCGTTCACTACATTAATAACTACGGATGTCAGAATAGCGACGGTATCTTGTAATTAGTTCCAAACCACTGAGCCAAGTTCCGTCCAAAACTTCAAATAGACCTAAACGATGACAGACATAACACAGCAATTCGCTAATAATCAACTAATTAAGTCGGTCAACAGATACGCGAAAACAAATTCATGACAGTTACGCCCTAGAGTCTTTTTACTGCTTTGTAATTGGTTAGAGTTTTGAAAATGAATAAAGAGAGTTTGAGTTGGTCTTGGCGAATACTCCACGACAGACGCAGTCCTGGAGAGACTTGGGGCGAGCCTTGACGCAGTCTAAGAGAGTCTTGGGTCAGCCTTGCGATATAGTCTTGGGGACTTTTCCCCAGGGCGCTGTGTCTTATAGAGTGCTCTAAAAGACCGACTAAGACGAGAGCTGAAACGTATTTCGTTGTGTGTGCCTTATTTGACTGTAAAGTTAAAGTGACTTTCCCGATCCCGTACCTCAAGGGGACGAGATAGAGAGACGAGACGAGATTCCCCCTTGACAGTGTGGAGAACCCCAGAGAAGAGAGATTTCCCCCTGATAGTAGTGTCACTACAAGTTTGTAGAAGTCGAAGGTCAATTCTAAAAGGTACTTGTGCAAGTGATATCGATTTTAAAACATCCAAAAACATGAAATATCCACCAATTCGTCTTAAATTTAAATAATCCATGCAGCTGTGTAGTTAGATGACCGACAAATGTTGAAAGTAAATCATAATCGAGCGTGGTGAGTACTTGCATGGGAGACTTCCTGCGTAAACGACCTGTTGAAATTATTTAGTTTTTTTCATCACACCCACGGAAAAGATATAAGGCAACGTTCCTGCACTCTTTTTTTACTGTGATTTCAATCATTTATAGTGGTAAATCGTGTAATTTTTGTAACTTTTTTAATTAATTGCAAGTTTTCATATTCCCTCTAATTTTCACGAACAAGTTATTGATGCTGTCGGCACGTATTGGGGTTTAAGCTGTTAACGCACCGTGCAAAGTTGTTCAAAGTGATTGCAAAGTGATTGCAAAGTTGGTAGATGTATTTGTAGATATGATCTAAGTTGTTGGCATATAGAAACGCGCAGTTGTAAAATCGGCAAATTTAATAAAAGCCAATTGAAATCAGCCTATAGATGTTCACATAAGCTGACTGTAAATTGTTAGAAAACAGCGTGTAAAGTTGGAAAAAGCGAAGGAAATGTTGGTGGGGTTGATTGTATATTTAACCTAAGTCATTGTCATTACTCCCCGCAGTT